ATATATTTTTGTATAATTGTTGATTTTATGATTTTTCGTTGCTATTGCGGATAAAACGAAGAATTTCTTTTTGTGCTCGTCCTTAAAGACTTAAGAAAATAAGGAAAACGTTACAAAAATGAGAAAAGGCGAACTCGATGCAGTGTCAAATGTGTGGTGGGTGTGGGTTAGTAGGGCTGAGGAGTGGGCGGGTTGTAATTGTGCACCTGATTAGACGAACGTTTAATACAATTTCTCTTTTCTTTTTCTTTTTTTTTTTTTGTTTTTGTTTTGTTTTGTTTCTTCTTTTGTTTTGTTTGCAGTTAATTTTGTGTAACTTAAGCGATTGCAACGGGGGTAAGAAGAAAATAAACATCTTCTGCGCTTCAAATTTGTTTGTGTTAGCTAATACAACTAATTGTGTGTGGGTGTGTGTGAGTGTGAATGAGTGTTTATGATACGATATATACTACAATATATATATGTATATATAGACACCAATACATATACATATATATATCTTCACATGTATATATATATATACGCATATCAATATATAATTATATACATATATATGCCGGTTCTGGGTCTAGTCTCTGATAACAGACCCAACTATAGCATTGATAACAACTATATAGAATATATATGTATATACATATGCATATGTATATATAAATGTGTGTGTTCTCGTGTGCATTGCAGGAGCTGTGTCCTGTTGGGTGAAAACAGAGCGGGGAAGGGGGAGTTCTATCTCTGTGTGTAACATTAAATTCTATATACATATAATAGCTGCTGCCCTTGCACTTGTTATAAAAATAAACTATATACATATATATGTATGTACATATATGTATATATCACATGTATATATATACAAATATATGTATATACACATACATATATATATATTACAAATTGTTGTCGCTGTTGTTGTTGTTGTTATATATGCATATCTCTCTCATTTACTAATCCTGGTTAGCTCGTCCTGCAATGCAGCCAGTGCCGTTTTTTTTTTATCTTTCATTTTTTTTTTTTTTGCTTTTGTTTTCTTGTTGTTTATTCGATTATAGTTTTTTTTTTGTTTTTTGTTTTGTTTTTTTTTTCTTTTGTGTATGTTTTTAA